AGTCATCCACCCAACAACCACTCATTGGAGGCGGGATGTCCTGGGCTCAGCTCTGCCTTGCAGACTCACTGGGTAAGAGATCTCCACCAAGTTCCAGAGCCTCTGCCCTGATGGAGAAAGAAGTTTCTACCTGATGCAGTCAGACCCAGAAAATCCACCCCTCAAAAATTTCAAGGTAGAAACAAGGACACAAGACAAAACAGTCCCCTTGTCTTCGAGGGGTTTACATCCTACTGGGGAGATACAACACGAAGCACTTTGCTGTGATGAAAAGCTGATGGAGTTGGAGGCCCTCAGTTCAAATCCCAGCAATGTGACCTCTGTGGGCCTCAGTTGCCTCATACGTAAAATGAGAGGATTGGCCTTGTTGACCCCTGAAGTCCCCTCCAGCCCTTAACTGACGATCCTAGATCTCTATGTGTAAGTAAAATCCAGGATCAAACGTAATGGGGACAAAGAGGTCTGCGAAGTCAGAGGCAGACACTGGACAGGACAGGGCACAATACTGTATACACACTGCTGGATATGGCCACAGGAGCAAGTATTTTTGCTGAATAAGGGAGGGTCCTTTTTTCTGGGGGTTGGTGAAGGTCATTTCCAGAAATGAAAAACATTCATTAGAAAAAAGAATAACAAAGCTTTTTCAAAAAATAAAAATTCAAGATAATTTTTTTTTTTTTTTTTTAGCAGAGATAGCCTGAGAAGGCTTCTCAAGCAGGTGTGTTTCTATAGAATAACCCTTTCCCAATATCTCCCACCCCGTGACCACCATCTTGTCAAAGCCTGGTCTCCCCTGACAACTACGTCTCCCCACCCTTGGCCTGATGAAGAAAAGCTGGCCAGAGACTCAACAGTACCAGCATGGACATCCAAGAGGACAGGAGCGGACTCTGTGCCCAGTGCGTCCATCCTCTTAGAGAGGACAGAGAAACACCCCCCCCCATTTCCAAGTTTACCTGGTTCATAGAAGGGATCTTATCCCATTCATTCTTCATGGGGTCATACACATCAACTTCAGCAGAATCATCTCTGGGAGAGACAAACAGAGGAGGCCAATTAGTGCAAAGACGGACCTGCCCACAGGGCTCTCTACCCAAGATGGGAGCCCCAGTCCCTACTGGACCTGGAATCCCTGCTCTGTGTTCTTGGGCACATTGCATCCCTTCTCAGGGGCAGTTCTGGACTGCCCTAAAGTCCTTTCCCCCTTGAAATCCATGATCCCTGTGTGTGGGGCAGAGTGACAACCCCCGCACTCCAGCCTTCTAATGAACTGGATGCAGCTCTGTTTCCATGGCAACCACAAAGCTAATGCAATCAGACGTTACACGGAGGGACAGGGCATTCAGGCCAGGCTCTGCTGTGCTCTGCCTTCATCAGATCACCGTGGGCGGCCTTGTGCCATCAGTTCTGGCCACCCAGTGCAGGAAGGTCATCAATAAAAGCTCAGAGGGCATCCAGGGAGGAGTGAGCAGTATGACAAAGGGTCTCAAGGCCACGCCACCTGGGTACCAGTTGACAGAGCTGGAGATGCCGAGCCTGTTGTGGGGGGCCCTGGGCGCCTTCTTCAAGTACACGAAGGACTGAGCAACGGCAGACAGGGCACGGACTGGTTCCGTTTGGCTCTAGAGGTCTGAATTAAGAGAGGCAAAATCTGGCTTGATGTCCCCTCTCACTCAGAGCAGCTGAGTAACAGAATGAGTTACTGTGGGGGCAGGGGCATCACCTGGGGTCTGGAAGGGGAGGGTGGGTGACTGACCACTTACTGACATTGCCAGGGAGGCTGAAGAAGGGATGCCTGCTCAGATAGGAGATGGACTGGACCAGACGGCCCCAAGGGCCTACTCTGTGCTCCTTTGATACTATTCAGCAAAATTCGAGATCCGATCCCTTCACCTCAGGAGGGCAGTGATCCTGAGAAAGCTGGGCCCCCAAACCAGCCCCATAAAATCATGCTGGACTCTGTCTAAGACATGAGGCCAATGACTCACCCACAGGAAGCCTAGACATTCACAGCCAAATAAGGGATACAGACAGATAATAGAAAAAACAATTTTGATCATTTAAAACAATTTAAATTTTAGTAACATAGACAAATTTGGTAATTTCGCTTCTGCACAAACAAAATCGATGTGACTACGATAAAAAAAAAAAGAAACCATTAATGGGAGAGCGAGGAATCCCCCCTTAAATATCTCATAGGAGGTCTAATATCCAAAGCATCATGGAACCTGGGATTTGGGAGACACCTCAGCGGCTGTCCAGTAAGGGATGGGCTGGTAGCCCACAAGCTCTACAAAACAAAAGCCAACAGGTACCCAATAACAACCTTTCACGTTTGTTCTGCATTATTAATATTTTCTCCATCATTTTCTTAGAAAGTCTGGACGATGAACAGAATAATAAATCTACTGATCTATAGCGCCTGCCATTTCTGGGACGTAGATGCTCACGCTGAAAATTTAACACCTGGCTCTAACAAGCCAATACGAGCTGGGTCCAGCCCCTCACTGCATCTGGTCCAACCTATCCCCTAAAAGGACCTCCATTACAACACACTCCAAAGGGGCTGACCAGCCTCTGCCTGGACCCCCAGAGGGCGGACGCACCAGCTCCCACCTCACCGCCATCCTATTTGTGGAGGGCTGTCTTGCTCAGCAAGTTCTTCCAGGTGGGTAAGCCAGAATTATCCTCCTTATAACTTATGCCCGCCCCCTGTTCCTGGTTCTGCCCTCTAGGGTCACAAAGAACAAATTAACTCTCTCCCTGATCCTAAATCTAGAGTAGGAGGGACCTTAGTCTCCACCTGGTCCAACCCTCTCATTTACAGGTGAGCAAGCCAAGCCCCAGGATGGTTCAGTTAACCCATGGCCAAACATGTAGGAATGGAGGATTTGAACCCAGGTCCTCTGCTTCCAAAGTTGAGACTCTTTCCACTATACCACTCTGTTGCTAACACATGGCGAGAACCCAAAGACAGTCCTTTCAAATACTTGAAGACAGCTGTCATCACTCTCTTCTCTTTACATAGACACATACCCATATGTGTATATGCACATATGTATAAACACAAAGACACACATATAACTGCACATGTGTATAACAATGTACACATGTGTATTATATGTGTGTATATACCTACCACTGCCTATAACCCCTCCCCTTCACCCTAATCTAGGCTACCCCACCAAGGAGATTCCAAGACAGGGAAAAGATTCTACATATAACAAAATATTTATTGTTGTTCAGTCACATCCTGACTCTCTGTGACCCCATCTGGGGTTTTCTTGGAAGATACTGGAATGGTTTGCCATTTCCTTCTCTAGTCATTCTACAGATGAAGAACTGAGGCAAACAGGCTTAAGTGACTTGCCCAAGGTCACACAGCTAGTCAGTGTCTGAGGCCAGATTTGAACTCAGGTCTTCCTGACACCAGGGCTGGCACTGTACCCACTATACTACCTAGCTGCTCCTAAAATATTCACAGCAGGTACCTTCTGTGGTAGCAAAAAGCTAAAAGCAAAAGAGGTACCATTAACTGGAGAAAGGCTAAATAAACCAATATATGGTTCAATATATGAATGTGGGGTGGAATATGGTGCTATGAGATATAACATATGAAGAATTTAAAGAAAGAGAGGAAGACCTGTCTGAACTTGAGGCAAAGGCAAGGAAGCTGAACTATACATAACGAACACAATAATGTTAATGTAAACACAAAAATACTAGAATTCAGATTTTTCTTGTCTCCAGAGCCAAAAGAGATTCTCAGAGGTCCCCTAGGACAACCCCTTCATTTTACAGATGAGAAAACTGAGGTTTCCAGGGGGCAGAATTCATTTTCATGGAGGATACAGATCCTAGTGACCACAACTGTCCAAAAGGACACTGCTTGGCACATAGTAAATGCTTTATTCATGCATTCATCAATCAGTTCAGCACGTAAGTACCTATTATGAATCAAGACCCATTGCTAAATGCTGGAGAGAAAGAAACACAAAGGAAACAACCCTCCCCCCCTCAAGGAGGTCTGTGACTAAATCACACCAGATGACAGGAAGAAAGAAGATTTCTCTCCTTCCTCTCAGTACCCAAGAAGCCCAAGTCAGTTTCTGTTTTGCTTCAACTGTTTCTCTTTGTTATAAGGCAGGTGGGTATTTGGAAGAGATAACAGTGTAAAAGAAAACAAAACATCAATGAAAACAACGTAGGAGAAGGAAAGCATCATAGATCTATAACAATGTTAGCAGCTAGTATTTACGCAGTTCTTTAAGATTTGCAAAGGGCCACACATATGTTCTCTCATTCGATTGGTGACTACAACTTGTGTGGGGAATGCTATTATCTCTTATTTTACAGAAGGGAAAACTGAGCCCGAGAAAAGCCTCTATCTAATGCTTGAATAGATCTCAGTTCAAGCCCTTCATTTTTCAAAGGAGGGAACTGAGGCTCCAGGGAGGCAGATTTTACTTGCATGGAGGAAAAGCTCCCATGACTCAAACTGTCCACAAACAGTGGCTCTTCTTGAGAAGTAACATGGCACAGTAGAAAGAATACTGGACTTGGAAGTCAGCAGACCTGAATGCAAATCCAACCTGTCATGTATTCCCTGGGTGATTCTGGGCAAGCCTCCCCCCATCCCTGAACCTCAAGGTCCTCATCTGTAAAATGAGTGGGTTGTATTAGATGACCTCCAAGGTCCTTCCAGCTTAAATCTACGACCCTGTGGGGGTCTTCAAGTGGGGGCTGAAGAAAGACAACCACTTGCCAGGGATATTATAAAGGGGCTGTCTGTTCAGGCTGGACCACACTTTGGAGGCTCCTTTCAAAGGGGAAAATATTTGCACCTGGCACACAGTAGGAGCTAAATAAATGTTTGCTCTTCCCCTGCCCTCTTTCAGCTCATTATATTATTCTCTTTGTCCAAAACTAAACTCCAGGGGCAGGTAGGTGAAACGGTGGATAAAGGAGCAGCCCTCAAGTTAGGAGGACCCGAGTTTAAAACTGGTCTCAGACCAGACACTTGACACTTGCTACCTGTGTGACCCTGGGCAAGTCACTTAACCCCAATTGCCTAAAAAAAAACAAAAAACAAACAAAAAAAACAACCCAAAACTAAACTAAATTCTGTCCTGGGGCAGATAGGCAGGGCAGTGAATAGAGAACACTGGGCTTGGAATCAGGAAGCTTCCTGAATTCAAATGTGGTCTGAGACAAGTCACTTAACCCTGTCTGCCTCAGTTTCCTCATCTGCAAAATGAGCCAGAAAAGGAAATGGCAAACCACTCCAGTATCTTTGCCAAGAAAACCCCAAACGGGGTCACAGAGAGTCAGACAGGACTGAAAGACAATAAAGCTTTATCCTACACTATTCCAACTGACCGAGAAGCCAGAGGCCTGACCAGGAGGCGGCCCATCTGGCTTCATTCACGAATTCCTTCTCAGGGGCCTTCGGGAGCCCTCCTGAAAGGGCTGGGTTTCATCTGGGTGGGAGGAGCCAGCAGCTCAGTGAGATGGATCAACAGGCAGGCCGGCCCTCTGCCCACAGCACATGCCTTCCTTCCTTCCTTCCAGTCATGAGGATGACAGGTGAGGGGAGCAGGTGGCATTTGCTGCCACTCTCCCACAAGGACAGGAGACCTTGCTCCCACCCCATTAGGGACACAGGAAGGAGAGAGCCAAGGGGACAGCGCTTCTTTCCTTCATTTTCCCCCCACTAAATTTAATATTTAACTTCTAATGTCACAGAAATTCATGGGGACACATGCAACCTTCTTTTCTGTTCTTTGTTCACAAAATGTCCCTGTTTGTGCTCAATTACTACTACTACTACTAAATATATAATAAAAACGTGTTTATGTGCACATATGTGTGTACAGACATACACGCACATATAAATGCACGCGCACACACATTTTTCAAGAGGTCAACTTGCAGCCAGCTAGGTAGCGCAGTGGATAGAGCACCGGCCCTCAAGTCAGGAGGACCCAAGTTCAAATCCGGCCTCAGACCAAACACTTTTTACACTTACTAGCTGCTAGCTGTGTGGACCCTGGGCAAGTCACTTAACCCTAATTGCCTAAAGAAAAAAAAGAAGAGGTCACCGAGCCAAACCCTACTATTTTTACATGCAGATGGAGAAACTTGGGAGAGAAAGTAAGTGGGCCTGGAATATTCAGACAGGAGCTTGAGGAAAAAAAAAAAAACAAACCCCCAAAACCGAGGTCAATAAAAAGCACAGCACCTGTTGTGGAACCCACTTCCTTTCTCTTCTCATATCTGAGGTGGTCCCTCTGTACGGAAAGAGAGGGGGGAAGGCCAACTCTAAGAAGTCAGTTGATTTTTCCCTCTCTTTTACTCTTATTATGAATACAAAATAAAATTTCCTTTCCTTTAGACCAGACTTTTCTCTCCTCCAGCTCAAAGAATATAAATTTGGAGACATGGAGACAGATGGACAGACAGAATAGCTAACATTTACATAGTGCTTTTAGGTTTTCAAAGCACTTTACAAATATCATCTCATTTGATCCTCACAATAACCCTGGGAGGGAGGTGTGATTATTAACACTATTTTACAGATGGGGAAACTGAGGCAGACGTCTTGCAGGTCAGTTTACACAGCACTTTATTTAAGGTTTGCCAAGTGCTGTTTATTACCCCCAACTGGACAGATGAGGAAACTGAGGCTTGGAGGGGTTAGGTGTCTTGCCGCAGATCACAGGGGCTGGAAGCTCCCAAGGCAGGATTAAAATCTAGGTCTTCCAGATGTATCCCATCTATACCACAAGCGTAAAAACTATTCTCACTCCTTATTAGAGCTGGATGGAAACATGGATTATCAGAAAAAAAGAAACCCGCCCCTGGTCTCGGGCATCACTTCCCTTCGGAGGGGCGAGAGGCCGTTCTGGTCGCCAGCTTGTTTAGGAAAGCTATGTGGTCAGCAAACACCGGTGTGGGAGTGGGGGAGTAAGGGGCTTCTCTGAGAGTGCCCTGGGTAGGCCGGCTGGCACAGGCTTCCGGGCCGGGCAAGTGGAGACTCGATGTTTGCAGTCCTGAGCTGGAGCTCGGCCCCTGGAAGATTCCTCGCCCTCAGGTCGACAGGAAAGGACAGAACATTCTCGCAGGTGGCCGTCTCGGCGCCCCGCTCCAAGCAAGAAAAGGGATGTAACTAAAGTCGGGACTTTCTGAGAAGCCCTATTTATAGCTCCTCTGGCTTTCTATTTGAAGAGACCTGAAGCTGGGCTTAGGGGAGAGGGGAGGGGGCTGGGAAAGTTTCACCCCAGTATTTTCTGAGAAGAACAGGGTGGGAAGGGCTGGCGGGGGAAGGCCTAGGGCATTCCTCAGATGGTCTAGGGGTGGCACCGAGGCAGAGGAGGCATTGCAGTGGCAAGAAAGGTACAGAGTGACCTTGGGCAAGGACACAGGCACCCCATGTTCTGGGCTCCATGTAGCCAAATACAAAGGGGGAGGGGCGAAAGGAGACCAAAGAAGTGGTCGATAACCTGACTCTGACCCCCTCCCCAAAAAACCAAAACAAACAAAAAATCCAACCTTCAACTGATAAAAAAAGGAAGAAAAGGAAAGAGAAACTGTAATCAGCCTGGGAGAACCGATGAGGAGGCCAGCTTCCCTCCCCTCTCCACAGAGCCTGTCACAAGCAGCTGTTCCAGCGCGGGCTTTGTGTCACAATGTTTTGTTACAAGGAAGTGTTCAATGAGGAGTGGGGTGAAGGGGAAATAATGTGTAAAAACCAGAAAGGCAACAATATTTTTTTTTTCCTTTGGCCCCTCCGAAAGGGCTCACAGGGCCTATCATCTCCTTCTCCTGGCATTCCCACACCTTCCTCTTCCGGGCTCACCATTTGGAGCGGGGGGGGGGGGGGGCCCAGACTGCCAGACTGGCAGCTCCAAACCCCCGTCTGCAAAGCTGGACATGGCGCCCTCCCAGAACCCGTGCTCCAAACTCTCCCCCGAATAATGAGTGTATGTCACTCCTCCCTCATGCATTCTGTACTTCAGCCAAGGTTTCCCAAACCTGATGCTCATCTCCTGCCTCCAGGTCTTTGCACAGGCTGTTTCCGATGCCTGGAATACTTTCCCTAGCTTTCTTCAAACCCCATTTCAGGCACTTCCTCCTACGCTGGACCTTTCCTGCTCATCCATTTCTAGGACTCTCTACCTCCTCCACATAGTACCTGGAATTCACTCTACATGTCTGTCATATTTCAGAGGCAGCTGGTGGTACAGTAGAGAGAGCTCTGGGCCTGGAGTCAGGAAGACCAGAGTTCAAATCCAGCCTCAGACACTCACTAGCTGTGTGACCCTGGGTAAGTCACGAAACTTGTTTACCTGTTTCCTCAACTATAAAATGGGAATCCTAATGGCACCTACCTCTCAGGAATGCTGTGACGATAAAACAGACCTTTGTAAACCATTTTTCAAATCCTGAAGTACTATAAAAATGCCAGCTTTATTATATCACTCCTTGAAGGCCTGGATGAGCTTATTTTTTGTCTCAGATTGCCCAACACCTAGAACAGTGCCTGGCATATAGAGCAGAGGCTCAATACACACTTGCTGATTATTAACAAGAAATAACTAGGAATAATAATAGCTAGCATTTATATAGTGCTGTAAGATTTGCAAACTATTTCCCATGGCATCGTGTCAGAGCTTCACAACAATACTTCCAGGTAGGGCCTATTATTATCCCCACTTTACAGATGAGGAAACTGAGATTGTAAGAGGCATATCCCGGTCACACAGCTAGTAGATGATTGAGTCAGGATTCAAACTCGGGTGTCCCCAGTTCCAAGCCCAGCTCTCTATCCACCGAGCCACCATGATATCACAAGAGGAAGGGATACCATTTCCACGCACAGGAAGCACACTTAGGTAGAAGATATGTGGAGAGGGGAGGATGCCCCAATACACTGCCCTCCTCTCTGGGGATGCCCACTGTGGCAGCTGGCTTTGGAGGCTGGAGGGACTGATCACCAGTCACCCTGCGGGGAACCCTCTGACCTGGACTGGGGTCACAGGACTGGAAATTTAAGTGGAAGACAAGCCAGACAGACACTGCCTGGCTATCCCGTCCTGGGCATGGAATCTACCTAGGAGCCTAAAACTGGGATCTGCTAGAAAAAGGTTGGAATAAAAGCTCCCAACTCCACGGTGCCTGCTTTACACAGACTAGGAGGAATGGACCTGGACGGGCTAGGACTCCTCAATGCCCCGGGCCCAGAGCTCGCTAGGACTCCTCAATGCCCCGGGCCCAGAGCTCGCTCCTGGCCCCAGGGCTCCCAGCCTACACTTTCCCTTCTCTTTACTCTAGGCTAGCCGCAAACCCCAGGACCCCCAACCTCTTCTTCCCCTCAAGGTTTGTTCCTCCATCAGTTATTTGTAAAACTCAAAAGCAACAACCTGAAACGGGTCCCCTGGGAAGTCAAAAAAAACCACACACAACCTCCATCGAAGGCAGGAGGATGGGCATCTCCTTGTTCTCCTGACCTATGATTTCTCTGGTATGGGATATTTTGGGCAAGGAAACGCCCTCCACCGATGTTGGTGGCCAACAGCTCCAGGACACAGTGTGAGCTGTGAACAGGCCGATACGGCTGGCTGAAGGCCAACAGCTTGTCTTGAGAGATGCCTTGGGGACACTGAGTGACCAAGGCACTGTCAGAGGACACTCCTGACTCTCTGAACAGTTCTCTAGCTATTACACAATGCTGCCTCTCATCTCGTAGACAGTAGGTACTTAATAGAGGCCCAAAAGGAATGCTTTGTGGCTATAATTGAGATTGGCCCCAGGGAAGAGCAGAATAAAATGTCCTTTGGGCACAGCATACCGCATCTCCTCTTAGGCTTGGGCAACATCCAACCGGCAGCTGGTTTGCCTGGCTCCCCTCTTTTCCTCTTTTTTTACCCTTTGCTCCCAAAGCAGCTTTTCCCCCTTTCTGCCCTTCTCCCACTTCTGGTTCCCTTCTTATTCATCCTGTATCTCACCTGTTTGTACACATTTGCCAACTCATCATCTTCCCCATTCGAACCAGGTTCCTTGATCTCAGGTTTTATCCCAAGTGCTTAGCACCGTGCCTCAAACACAGTAAGTGCTTAATAAATGCCTGCACAGTGACTATATCCAGAGCTGGAAGAGACACTAGAGGCCATCTCCTCTAACTGCCTCATTTTACGGATAAGGAAACCGAGGCCCACAGAGACTTGTTCGAGGTTACCCACGCACTAAGTAGCAGAGATGGAATTCGAACCCCAGACCCTCTGACTCCGGAGTCAATGTTCAAATCTGGCCTCAGATGCTCACCCACCGTCTGCCTTGGTTTCCTCAACTATAAACTGGGGATTGTAATAGCTCCCCTTTCTTAGGGTTGTGATGAAGATCAAAGGAAATAATATTTGTAAAAGCACTCAACACAGTGCCTGGCACACAGCAGGCGCTTAATTTATGCTTGTTTATCCATGTGGTCTTCTTCCGCTCCACCATCCTGACTAAGTCGAGGGATGGTTCACTGGGTAATGAAATTAAGTTGATGTAAAAACAAAAATGTAACTTTTTTTTTTTTTTTAAAGAAAGACTTGTGGTTTCCAGTGTCACAAGCGATATCGATTGGCTTTTATACCAAGTGTCGGGAGAAAGCAGCCTAGGTTCAGATCAGTACAAGATTAAAACACCCCTATCATGCACTCAGATGTAACGTGGGTTGTGAGGGAAACAGTACTAAACTCAAACCCAGAGCACCAACTCCCTATAGAACAAGCTGGTCTCAGGGGAATGCCGTCCCCGAGGCCACACAGAGAGCTAGGGGCAAAGTCAGGACCTGAACCCTATCCAACCCCAACAAATGCTCCACAGAAGAGTAGACCGGCTGGGCTGGAGACCTCCCTCGAGGAACCAGAGAGCAGACAGGGAGCACAACCCTGGACCTTCTCCCAAATGGCCTGGGGTGGCTTCAGGCATGACTCACCTCACAAAGTACATGAGCCCATTCAGGGTCACTGTCTTGGGTGCAAAAGACCAGGGCGGCAGCTGGCCACAGTTGACCAGGGACCACAGATCGGTGTCTGGGTCGTAGCACTGAATCACCATGGTCTCCTTGCCCGCCAGCGAGCCGATGGCGAAGAGCTTGCCACGGCAGGCCGTGGTGGAGCAGTTGTCCATGGGGTAGGGCATGGGCTGCAGGGCCTCCCAGGTGTCGGTGGTGTGGTCGTAGCGCTCCGTGCTGTCCGAGGCGACGACGTACAGCAGCCCGTCCAGGACCGTGGAGCTGTGGTACTCTCGGGCCTTCAGCATGGGCGACACCTCCGTCCACTCGTTCACGCTCGAGTTGTACCTCCAGACGCAGTCGTAGAGCCGGGAGCCGTCAGAGCCGCCTAGGAGGGAGAACAAAGGAGCCAGTGAGACCAGCCCACGCTGGGGAGAAGAGAGGAGGATTCCAGCCAGCCCTCACTGCCCGGGGGCCTCTCGGCTTGGGAATCTATTTTGACCTTACAGAGTCAAAACCTGAGTGGAGTCTTCATTCTCTAAGATTTTCCAGCCTCAATTCCCTTCATGCCAAGAATGAGGGGACTGATTCCCCTCCCCAAACAGGCCAGGACCAAGGAGGTGGCGTCACAAACACACACCCAGCATCACACAATTCCTGGCTGTTTGACATTGGGGGATGGTACTCTGGGCCTTAGTTTCCTCACCTGTACAATGAGGGGGGTTGGGCCAAGGTGCCCTCTACCGCTACAATTCTACGTACGTTAGGGACCTCAGAAATCATCTGATGGCCAATAAGGCAAAGGACCTTGCCTACAGTCACAATGAGCGAGGGGCAGAGCTGAGAATAAAAATCCAAGACCCCTGATCCAAAACCCAGAGCTCTCCCCACTTCTCCATTCACTGATCTACTAGGGAAGAACTCGGGACCCTAAATCCACAGCACAGCGCCTGACACACAGTTGGTGCATAATAAATATTCATTCACTGACTGGAGGGACAAGCAAATCCCAGGCAAGTCGTAAGACCCCAGACCTAGGGTCTAGATACTAGCAGGGAGGATCCCAAAGGCCATTTAGCCCAGGGCCTTAATTTTACAAGTGGGGTGGATCCAAGGCACACAGAGTGAAACAAATTGCCCAAGGTTGCTCAGGTGGCAGGGGCAGTACCTGGATTTGAACTCGTCACCCAATTCCAAATCCTGTGCCCTTTCTGCTGGCCCACACCCTGAGGCTGGGGTGTCAGGAATGAGGGGCTTCTATGAGCAGAAAGCACGGTGCAGTGACAGCTGTGGGCCCTGGGGAAGGGGCCAGAAGGACATTTCCCTTTGTTGGCTCCTAGATTCAAAGCTAGAAAGTCAGTCACTTAGAGGTCCCCGAACCCTGACCCTCCATTTGACAGATGAGGAAACGTAAGGCTCCGAGAACAAAGTAAGTGGATGAGGCAGGGTTTGAACTCTGCCCCTCCAGACTCAAAGTACAATACTCTGTCCACTACACCTGCTCTTCCTGAAGGGCACAGGCCTTGGAGGGAGGGATTTCCCAGCAGCTCTCAGGGGCCAGATTCTACAACAGGATTTTCCTGAGAAAACCATACTCAGAAAACAGAGACTGAACCTGTCTTCCTAAATAAGGGAAGCCTCCTTGGCCTTCAAGCCAGGCCTCCATCCTAACTGGACAAATAACGAAAGTCTGCATACCAAGAAAACAACTTCTCTCTGCTATTAATCCAGTCTCTCCTTCCTAACAATTCAAAGCTTTGGGGCAGGAAGCCAACCCCCTTCACATCTCCAGATACCATCTGCTTTGTCTCCTAGTAAGGAGCCGAGGCTAATGCCCCCAGAGACATCGAAAATCATCATGTTCACCAAAACCTGGGATGCTCAAGGCAATGCAGTATAACGGGAAGTGAGGCTTAAAAGACAACCTAGGGGTCAATTCTCCTCTCCAAAACTTAGCGGCTGGTAAGTACAGAGTATGAGTAACCTAACCTCTCACAGACTGTTTCCTTACCTGTAAAATGCAGACAAATACCTGTATTGAGAGTGAATAGTACTAAATAGTGCTAGAGAGTAGAGTTGTTAAGACTTGGGGTACCTTGGCTTGTGGCACCCGGGCAAGTCACCTACCCCTGTGGCCCGGCTAATTAATAATTAACACTAAGGGCTGCACTGGCCAGAAGGGGCAGGTCCTCACTAGGAGTTCTCCCTCTAGACCAATAAAATCATGGGTCTGATCTCTTCCCTGGTACCTGTAGCACCCAGCTCATGCGGTTATTGTGGGAATCAGGTGCGAGAAATACACATACAACATTTCCCAAGTTCTACAGAAATGCTGGGGATTCTTCTGGGGGATCCCTCCCTCTCAAAGCTTAAAGAGCCACATCCAGGAGGCAGGCCAGACAGTCCCATGTGGGATGGGCAGGAAGCATGCTTCTAAAATCCTGTTACCTTAAGAGGCAGCATAGACTGAAAAGAACTTTTAAAAATAGGACTAGAAAGATTCACCAACGACAAAGTCTCAATGATCTATTTACAGGCAACTGTCCCTAACGGCTGAGGAGACAAGCTGCTCACCTGATATTCAAACTATCCTCCCCCAACCCAGGTCACTCAGGCAACAGGGTCAGAGAAAGAGGCCCCAGAGGTCGATCCAGTGGGGCACCCCTCATCTTTCTACGGAATGCTGCTGGCTGCCGGTCTCCCACCCCAAGTCTGAACAGTTGTTAAGCCTTCACACACTCTCCCAGTGTTCTCCTAATGGGAATGGTTTCCAAAAGGCATTCTGGAAGTCCGCATTCTTCCTCCCCGGAATCCCCGGCAGGCAGCTGTACTTAAGAGAGGCTGGGGCCAGTTGTCTAAACAAAGAGGATTAGCTGGCTCAGCTGTTATATTAGGGAAAGAGTCGGGAGGAATGGGGTCTGTTTGGATCTCTCTGCGAAGAGATTTCTCTGCCCCCAAACTTTCAGCCCAGGACAGACTGAAGGGGTAATACCTAAGGTCAACAGGGTGGCTGGCCTTGCACGTGACCTGTATGTGCAAGGGTCAACTACATTCATCTCTACAGCCTTGGAGTGCAGCTGCAACCCACACATGTCCCACCAGTATACATGAACGCCTTGCTTAGAATTAGAGCACCAAGTTCTTTTCCTAGAGCTCTCAAACCAACCTTAGAAAATGCACAGACTGTCAGAACAGGAAGGAATCCAAGACACTTTCTGATTCAACCCCCTCCCTCCTCAATTTTTTTTTAAACAGAGGAAAAAACAAGAGAGGGTTTTCCAAGTCACACAGTCAAGTGAGTGGCAAAGCCCGGAACAGAAGCTGGGTACATACAGTCTCTTCTCTACCACAGTGTCTACTCTTTACAAGTGAAAATGATTTCACCTTTTCACTAAGGAGTCTCAATAGATCAAGAGTTACCAGGCACCTACTAAACAAGAGGTACTGTGCTAAGTTCTCATAGACAAGACGGAGCCTCCCACTGTTGCATCAACAACCTACCAGGTCAAAAGGCATGGTTAGCAGAAAGGGAATTATAGACTTTCAGTAAGTAAACTGCATTTTGAAAAATTAAAGGCATCAAACTGATAAATCAAGATCCAGAGATCAAGGTTCTGGAAAATTTCCCATAGTCCCTCATTTCCAAGTTAAACCCAGGTCCTCTAGATACTACAGGTTTGGAAGTCCAATTACTTTACCTTGATAATCTGGTTCCCCAAGATGCCAAGTATGTAGGCTGAAGATTCAATTTTTAACTATGTTACTGGGAAAGAGATCTTTTTGACTTGGGACTTGGGGAAAAAAAAACCCCAACAAACTCAACCCATCCTATCTCTGCCTAATAAAGCTACCCAGAGAACAGGCCTCATAAAATGGAGGGGCTCTGTGTACCTTTTAAAAACCAGGATTTATTAAGACAAAGAAACGGAACCAAGAGACCTAGGCTGGCCAGGACCCACCCAGAGTGACTCGGCATTGCCTTGGGTTCTCAGCCAAGTGCACTGGAAGAAAATCAATTATCATGTGACTATGTTTACAATCACAGGGGTATTTCAGCCTAAACACCATGTGACTGGAAGCATATATCAAATGCATAAAAGGTGACTGACTCAAACCCACTCGAAAAAATATTTCCTGCTGAGAGCCCCAGAGGAGAGAAGCTGTATCAGGCAGTAGTCAGTCCCAAAAACAGGAGAGGCCAGGCTGGGCAGGGCGAGCCAGTGGCGAGAGTCCCACTGGGTGTCAAACTCAGTCTAGCTATTAAGTTAATTAGGGAAACAACAGAGGTTCTTCCAGGGCGTGGGAGGAGAGAGAACAGAGAATGGCCCAGTTGTGTCTGTCCAACTTAATTAGAGACTGGGCCTTGGGGGAACTATCCTCAGAGGGAGGAATTTAGACTCTGATCAGACAGCCAAATTCGGTGAAACAAGGCCCAGACAGGTACTAGAAAAAACTCCGAGGAGGAAGGATGACGTTCCTACTGCACCCCGAACACCCACCCCCGGGACAAATCCAGGGTGGTTTTGACTTTGGTAACAGACTTCTTTCCCTATCAGGGGACGTTGGGGGCGTGCACGAGCCTCAGTCGCTCCTGGGTCAAATGGCCACCCCCACATTCCCTAAACAAGACCAAAGACTGGGCATAAATCTGGTCTGTTTCATCTTTGCCAAAATAAGGGATTTGCATCAAGTCTTTAAGGGACCCTGCTAGCTGTGATTCTGTGCGTCTGCCATTTATAGTCCGGCTGAAGGGCGCTAGACCGGGCTGGGAAGTGGCCCTCTGCTTCGCCCTTCCCCCTCCCCCGGGATCCTCACCCGTGACGTAAATGTCGTTGCCCAGCGCCACGATGCTATAGCCCCCGCCCAGGTGGTCGGGGAACTCGGCCAAGTAGCGCCACTGGCCGGTCTGCGGATTGTAGCAGTCCACGGTGACCAGCTCGTCGCAGTCCTGGTCGCAGCCGCCCACGAGCACGAGGATCTCGGCGAGGCCGGTGGAGGGGCGCGGGCGCATGCGGGGGCAGGGCCCGCGGTCGTGGCGGTCGTAGCGCGCAGCCTGGAAGTCGCGGGCCTCGCGCAGCAGGCGCAGGCAGGGCGGGCAGCGCGCCACGAGCGGCTCGGCCTCCACGTGCGCCAGCAGGTAGAAGCGGCGCACGAAGGGCAGGCGCACGGCCTCCAACAGCTGCGGCCAGTGCGCGGCGCGGCGCGGCAGGTCCGCCCGCACCCAGCGCAGCGCCAGCTGGTAGGCGGCCTCCTCCTTGGGCACACAGAGCCCGTCGTCGCGCAGGTAGCGCAGCAGGCGCGCCAGGGGCAGGCGCTCCAGCTGCTCGGCGCCCAGCTCGCCCACGTGGCGCAGGATGAAGCGCTGCGCCGCGCCCGCCAGCCCCGCGCAGCTGAAGGCCTCGGCGAAGTCCTGCATGTCCAGACAGTTGGTGAGGTCGAGCTGCTGCTGCAGGAAGGCCCCGCACGCCTCCTTCACGGCTGGGAACTGCAGCAGGTCGGCGGCGCGCAGCAGCGGCTCGGCGTTGTCGCCGCTCACCGCCACCCGGCCCGTGTAGCTGAAGTCCAGCAGCAGCTGCAGCATGTCGGGAGGCACGCCGTGGAGCCGCACTCGCTCGGCGCGGCTCTCCCGCAGCTGGCCCGCGAACATGGCGCGGAAGTAGGGGCTGGCCGCCGCCAGCACCGCCCGGTGCGCGGGGAAGTCGCGCCCTCCCGCCGCCTCCAGGGTCACGTCCAGGAACTTGCGCTCGGCGCGCAGCTGGCTCAGCCCCCGGAGCAGGCTCAGGGCGTGCGCCGGGTCCGAGAAGGGCAGCACGGCCAGGGGCGCCGGCCTCTCCATACCTCGGTGGGGAATAGTCCGCTGGCCCGTGCCACTGCCGTTGCCCGTGCCTGTGGAAGAGACGCTCAGCTTAGCTTACTTTAGCTCGGCCCCGGCGCCGCCGCCGCCGCCGCCGCCTCCTCTATAAATACCTTCCCTGCTTCCTTTCCCTCCCCCGGCTGAGCTGCCCAGCCCACGTGGCCGTCAGGGCCCCGCGGAGAGTCACTCTCCCAACCCGCGGCCCCCGCCCACTTAACCCTCTGCCCGCCGGGCCGCGATCGCTTCGGGAGGCTCCCGCTGCCTTCCCGGGCTGGACGCGAGACGCCCCCCTCTCCCGGTCCCGCGCTGTAACCCGAGACGCATGATGCAACCTTCCCTTTCCTCCCGGGCTTACGGAGGAGACAGGAATACTGTGCAGCAGGGCTGGCCTGTCCCAGGCTGGCTCTCCGAGCGGCCTGAGTCACCGGCCCTCCCTCGGCTGGCTCATCCGCTGACTCCTCCCTTAGGCAGCCCCACGCCTCCCCACCCTCCACCCCTACTTGGGCTGACAGTGCCAGGGGCAGTGGTCCATCCCCCGATAAATTAACCGCCCACAGGGAAGAGGGAATAAACTGTGTCGCGGGGAGCAAAGCTCGGTGAACCACAAGCCTGGGCAAACGCGATGGGGAATTAAATGCCTCATTTGCCAGCCTCGGCAGGGAGGCCTCCCCCCCTCCCCCCCGCCGCCTAAGCCCCCCTGCCAGGTCCAACACTCCTCCGTAAACACAAACAATCAAGTGCTAAGCACCTGGACAGACCTGGGCTGGGCGCGGCTTCCCCAGTGTCAGGCCACAAGCATTTGTCAGATGGAATCTTAGGGGCCGTCCTGAGCGACTCAACTTCCTGGAGAGTCAGTAACTTTCGACTTGGGTGACTGAATATCTTTAGTCACAGGATTCTAGGTAGAGCCAGAAGAGGAGTGTCTGAGATCTCCCACCACAAGCCCCCACACTTCACAGAGACAGTGAGGCCCAGTTTTCCAAGTGAGAGGCGGAGGAACAGCCGGGTTTAGAACTGGGTCCTCTGGCTTCCGGCCCAGTACCTTACGGCAGGCCGTCTCTTCTGGGAGCCAATCAGAGCAGGGCATTCCTTCCCCCTTCCCTGCGCTACCTGGTGTATGCTATTTGGGGAGGTAATGCATGTGGGAGGGAGAGCTCTTGTAAACCGTACACACCTTAGAATCAACTCGCGCTACTGACTACGTGACCCTGGGCCACCAGAGTTGGGGAGGAAAAGGAAGTACATAGCGCCTACTGTGTGCTTCTCTAAACACTTTGGAAATATTACCTCAATTGATCCTCTCAACAACTGTAACACTAAGATACAAAAAAGCTCAGACCAGCTATGATGGTTCTGGGAGTTCCCTATATGGATGAAAGGACATCCCCATGCCTCCCCATCCCTGCTTATACCTAGGATCATAAATCTACAGCTGGAAGGGACTGTGTTGTCCATCTAGTACAATCCCCCCCATTTTACAGATGAAGAAACTGCGGGTCAGTTCAGTTAAGGTCACACAGGTAATATCTGAGGTGATATCTGAACTCAGGACATCTCACTTCATTATACGTACATACAGGCATTAAGAAAGTGTCTCAAATCTCCAAAGGCCTCATGATGGAAAATGCTATCCATATCCAAAGAAAGAACTATGGAGTTTTGAATGCAGATCGAAGCACACTATTTGCTATTTTTTTTCTTCTGTTGTGTTTTGTTTCCTCTTTCTGGTGGTTCCTCCTATTGGTTCTAATTCTTACCTACAATATCACTAATGTGAAAATATGTTTAATAGGAATGTATATGTATAGCCTATATCAGATTGTGAACCATCTTAGGGAGGGAGGTGGAGAAAAATTTAAAACTCAAAAGCTTATGGAAGTGATTGTTGATAATTCAAAATAAATCAATTAAAAAATTTTTTTTAAAGTGTCTCAAGTCAAACTCCCCCCCACTTAAGTGTCCCAAGCTGAACTGCCCCATTGGTCTCTTGCTGTAAGATCAAACTAGAAATAGAGTTCTAGGGTTTTAGCTCCCCCTCAAACACCAGAGTTGCCATATTCCCAAACTTAGTACTCAGACCTGACCTCTCTGAGATAAAGTAGTTCCTTACTTTGCTACTGTGAAATAATTTAGCACCCCCATTTTACAGAGGTAAATCAGGACACCTAAAGGGGCTACATGGCTGACTGACCTTTTCACACTCCGCCAGGAGAAAGCTATATGTACTTGGCTGATCTACCTTTTCTCAGGGGGCCTACACTGTCCTATCGTCCATATATACAAATAACAATTCATCTACTTGAAAACAACACAATTTCCTTTTATTTTTATACTGCTCTACTTTTAGATAGTTAATCCACAAGCATTTATTAAGTGCCTACTGCATGCTGGCCACTGTGACAGGAACTGGGGATATAATGGGAAAAAAAAAAGGAAACCCTTTCTCTGAACCTTCAGAAATCACAATCCAATCCCTTGATTTTTATGGTCTCTGTCATTTGTCAGTCAATAAACATTTTTGAAGTGCTTCCTAGCTAGGTACCCAGTTGGCCTAGGCACTAGTGACAAGAGAGACAAAAATAAATAGTCCCTGCCATGGAGAAGCTTACATTCTAATATCATTTTATAAATGTGGGATAGACCTGGCACATTCAAGATTTTGTCATTTCTCAGCTCCTTCTGAACTGTAACCGGCATTTGGAGAAAAGGGTTGTGGCCATCAATTGCTGATAAAAATGAGTGGCACCATGGGCCTCATTTTACCTAACAAGCTATTTAGGTCCTGTTTGAATTCTGCCTGAGCACAACCACAAAGAATTCAGCCAGGTACATTGTAAGGCCATCTGCGGTTGCCCATAGATGGACTACTCACAAAGCTATTCACAGCAGCAGCTTAGGGCAGAGCTGTCCAAGAACTTGCAACGGCAGTTAGGGAAAGCCAGGAAGTAGGATATTTTTAGGGGGAAAGCACTACAGTCATGCTAGATTAGAACTGTGTGGGATGACAGCTCACCTTCCTTGTGTAATCTGAATGACTAACAGTCCACATCATTAACAGACTGGGCACTGGAACCAAAACACATTAATCAGGGTAGCTAAGAGCATACAGGTCTGACTCTAACCCCTTCACCCTATCAGCTGTGTCTGGAATTTCAAATACGTAGGACAATTCATGCACGCTATGGCAACTCATGTGAATGCTATCTCTTCTGCCTGTCCATTTGATAAGCACAGAACGGGAGTGCTAGTCAACTCTTTCTCCTTCCAGATATCCTAGCACTCCAGTTACTAAGTGATCCGCACATCTAGTAAATATAATCTAGGTAAAGGGATTTAAGGTACTCCAGTCGCCACACACAATTGATATGGCAGTAAGAAAATTTAAATAATAAGAAAACTAACAAAAATGAATAAATTCCTTTTAGAAAAAATGCAGACTATTGACATCTCTTGGATGTCACCGGCACTATTCTCACAGTTATGAGGGAGAGGGGGAATTCTTCCTTCCCTTAAACCTGGAAAACTTCTTGAATAGTAAGTATCCTGTCCCTTGCCCTGACTCAGAGTGCTGACGATTACATTCACTCTGGTGAGAAAGGGGTTAAGTTACAGAAGCATACCCTGCCAACTTGCTGATTATTTATGGGCAAGATGTTTAGATTTGGGGAAAGTAATTCAGCTAAGAAACAAAACAAAGTGATAAAAAAAAAAAAATTCACCTCCCCTAAAGGAATTTTTTAAAAAAGGGAATGACTAACTTGTTTACAATAATATGCCTGGAAGAATGATAAGTATGATAAATGTGTACGGTGGTTCCATTGTGCGTTGACCTTAATTCTAGACAGAGAAGACAACAGAATACGATGGCAAAATCAGGCCATTACTTTAAAAACAGAGTTGAGTATATCAGCATCAATGCTTCATAAATAAATATTAGTAGTACTAGTAGCAACAATAACAATAATAGCATTTATGTAGTGTTTTAAGGTTTCCAAAGTGCTTTAACAATTAGGATCTCATCTGATCCTCACAACTACCCTGGAAGGCTGATGCTATTATGATACCTGTTTTTTCAGATAAGGAAACTGAGGCAAAGAGTGGTAAAGTGACTTGCCTGGAGTCACACAGCTAGTAAGAGTATGTAAGAGGCTGGATTTGAACTCAGCTCTTCCTGACTCCAGGTCTAGGGTTCTCTCCCACAACCCACAGGGGCTGGGGATTTTTCCCTGTTTAAGCATACCCACGGTATGGCTCCAAGTTTTCTAAATTCGAAGTTTTGATTTGTCTCAGGAATTACATAACATGCTCTATAACTCTGACCACCTTGTTACTGTAATAACACCTGTGTATTCTTAGGCTAGTGTCCCCCCGGGGGTTTACCAGATCAGATCTAGGATTTCATTGGCATAGGAACCTCCCTCTGCCATTTGAATTAGTCCCTTCTCTGAAGCTGATCATTGTAGAGTTGCCTACAGCACTACAGGTTAGGTGACTTACCCAAAGTCATACAGCCAGGCAGGTGAGGTAGGCTAGGAGCAGTGTGCCAAGCCAGGGAAATGCTGTGCTAAGTGCTGCTGTGTCAGAGTCTCAACTTGAATACAGGGGCAGCTCTTATCTACTTGGGAATTCTGTTGCCTCCCGATACCATTATCACCTACAGTTAAAACCAGTTTATGAATGATTTTTAAATTGTCTTAAGGAAATAATTACTAATGCCTTCCACTCACTTTCTGTTACCCAGGCTGAAAACCTGGAAGTCACCTTCAATTCTTTCCTCTCCTCTGCCCTCCATATCCAAGTGGTTGCCAGATCTACTGATGTAGACTTTAGCCTGTCACTCACATGCCGTCACCATGTCACTCCTCTGCTCAACAACTGTCCATGACTCTCTATTATTTCTATAAAAACCCCTTGCCTGGTATTTGAAGCCTGCCAAACTATTTTAAATTTTATTTTTGATTAAGAACTTGACAATAATGAACAATTAACCCAAACATTTCCATTTGCAAGGAAGAACAAAAGAGGGGAGAATTGTATATGAAAAAGTGAACTTCTGTAAGATGGTTTAAAAAATGTACATTACTTTTAACAAGGTAGGAACAAAACTGTCCTTTGTCCCCTTCAGACCTTAGTGTGTGTGTGTGTGTGTGTCCCCAGCCTGTCTTCCCAGCCTTGTTTCATGTTATTTCCTCTATATGTTCCAGCCAAATTGGATTCCTCCAGGTTCCCTGAATTCCCTATGCCAGCACCAATCTCTCTTCTTGTATTCACACCCTCCTCCATTTAGGGAACCTCGTCTTCTTTCTGTTTATCCCCAGCCCAGCTTTTTGTCCCCTTCTTTGTGATGCCTGCCAGTTTCTTTCAGGTGAAACTATCCTCTCCCTCCTTTCATTTTCTTAGAACTCTTTGCACATACCTATCTTTTTGCCCTATCAAATTGGGCCTGGTTTGATACTTATTTGTACAGGAGTCACTCCCTTATATCACTAAATTGGAAGCTTCTAGAGGGCAGGTCCAGTGCCAAGAACAAAGGAGGCCCTTAACAAGCATTTTAATGAACTGAACTGAATGGAGCTGAATTTTCCAATGAGATTATACTGAGACAGTGAAGATCTGGGAATATTAAATTATTTGATACATAATCAAATTTAAACAACTACTTTCTTAACTTGTATAGTTACAAAGCTGTGGTATTCATGATACTTTTACAGTCACAACACATTTCCTTGAATTTTTCATTTCCCCTGGCAGCTAGGTGTCACAGTAGATAGGGTGAGGGTCTGGAATCAGGAAGACCTGAGTTCGAATGTGGCTTCAGACACTAACTAGCTGTGTGACCCTGGGCAAGTCACTTCACCCTGTTTGCCTCAATTTCTGTAAAATCATCTGGAGAAGGAAATGGCAACTACTCCAGTATCTCTGCCAAGAAAACCCCAAATGGGGTCACAAAGAGTAGAACATGACTGATACTACTAAACAACAATTATTCCCCTACCAGCGGCACATTACCATACAAGTTTGTAAGAGAATTAGAATTGAAGGAGAGTATTTAAGGTTTTCATGTTTAACATGATTGTACATGTATAACCTATATCAGATTGCTTACTGTCTTGGGGAAGGGGGTATTGATGGGGCAGAGGGAGGAAAATTTGGAAAATCTTACAAAAATGAATTTGAAAACTATATTTACATGTAATTGGAAAAAAATATTATTAAGTGCAAAAAAATTAAAAGAAATTAAAAAAGAAAAACAAACAAACAAAAAAACAGCAAAGAAACAAACTCCAAAAAATGGTATCTGGAGATATGGCAGAAGCTATTCAGTTAAGGACAGAATCATGGTTGGCTCACTCATCCCTTGTGTCTAGAGGCACTGTGCTACACTTGAAAAAAAAATCAGAGAAATTGTCTGTAGAACAGAAAAAAAAGTATATATAAACCAGGCTGTGATGAAAAAGATAAATGAAAGAGTCCAAGGACACCTTGAATTTTAATTTTAAAATTCTTGGTGTCTGTGCAAAGATGGTTTGGTTCATTCAGAAGTCCTAAACCTCTACAGAAGTATTGAATTTCAGAGGGAGATCACAAAAACGAAAGACCAAAGTCCCAATGTATCAATTATTTTGCTG